AACGCGTGTTTATTATTTGGATAATTTACAAAATCGACATATGCATCTATGATGGTCGATGGAATACATATATGTAGATATGTACTTGAATATTTGAATTCTATTTATAAAATAAAATAAAACTAGATTTTGCTCCGCACCAAGTGCGGGATTATAAATTCATATTTATTATATTCTATACTAAATTTTAGAATATATATAAATGATACTGAAAAATATAGTTTTAATACAATAAGTAAAAACATATCATTTGAATCATACATACTAAAAATTATTAGAAAAATAAAAATGTCCCAAAAAAAAACAATCGGTTTTCGAGTATTACGTGTTTCATACAAGCGATTTTGAATGCAGAAAAAATGAATTGGTTTGCAATAACAGAATTTAGAAAATAAAGCATTATCTTATAGTGTATGATTGAGAATGTAATTGATTGGTCTAAATGTTTTATTTTATTTTTAAAATAGTTGTTCAACAACTTTTAAAAAAACATTAAAATTAAAGTAATCATTGAACGAAATATTATTATCTAACCCGATTCGAATTTCCAGTTAATTGTGGATCCAAAATTAGTAAAGCTGTTTGAAACGGTTTATGTTTCGGGTATTTTGGTTTTCCAAGATTAAATAAAGTATCTAAGAAACATAACAAAATGAAAATTTGTTGTAATAAATTGATTTATCTAATTTCTGTTAATTTTTTTTATTTAAACTAATTTTTCATTTCTTTGGCTGGTTTGGATTGTAGTTTAGTTTTCATTTTTTTGGGATAAAAAATGAGAGAAGCCCAAATCCACAAATATGATTTGGTGCTGCACCACCCATGTCGGCAAAGTAAAGGAATCTCATTTCTTTTATGACGTTTGAGTTTTAGGAAATGTGTTTTTTTTTTTTGATAAAGTAGGAAAGAAATGTAAGATTGATACCTAGAATTTTAGAATTCCTTAAAATCTTCTTTGATTGACACCTAAGATTTTTCACCTAGTGTCTCTCTAGAGGATTATGATCTTTCCGTTACAGAATAAGTAGAAAAATGTCAACAAGAAAAAACAATACAACTAAATTAAAAAAAAAAAGTTGGAAAAGTGTAGACGTTTTTTTTTTCCTATTAATATGGTGTTTAGAGCTCTATATATATGTTTGGGAGGGTTTAGAGACCAAGTGGAGTCGATGTATGAGTGTTAACCATAAGAATAAATATTGTTATATACGTCAGTTTGAGCCAAATTGAAAGAGAGAAATCGAACTGGGGATTTCATTTGCTTTGTTAACAACGATAGGTCCAAGTATCGCACTGGAAGAAGCTGTCCCGTTGCAAAAGGGAATCGAGAGATAATGTGCTCTTGTACTTGAGCCAAAATACCAGCTAGATACAACGTAGACTTTGCAATGATAATCTTCAAACCTGAGCTCAACCTTGGATGGTAACCGAAATACCACCATTCCGCTGTTTTCAGTATATGCAAAGTCACTACATAGAGTCCAGCATCACTCACTTGGAGCCTCTCGAAGTGAATTTCAGTGAAGGAACTATTTCCAACTCCATTTTATTTGAAGAACATTATCCTAACTAACCAAGGCAATGAATGGTTTTCAGCTTTTTCAAGGTTCTTGATGCAACCAAAGATTCGAATACCTTACCGTTAACGAGCGAATCTATTTACTAACGAGTCACTGAATGAAAACGATGAACAACTGTCAGTATGCAGTCAGAGGTGAACTCTATCTCCGTGCTTCTGAGCTTCAGAAACAAGTCAATTCAAGTTTTGTAATTTGTGAGGCATTCTTGATGATCCAGATGATGATTGTTGTTTAGGTGTTTGAGCTAGATTAGACATGAGATTCTTTGTTGGTTTTAATATGCATCTCGTTGGTTTTCTAACTCGTTTGAAATGTCGCATAACAGATTATTTTCACAAATGTTGGTAACCCCCATGCTTTAGGACAAAAGCCACTAACATTTCCTCGACAGGTAAGTGAATAGAGAGTCTATTATGTTGCTGCAATTCTCATACTTTCTGATTATTATATACCAATGCAGGTGTTTGCTCTATGCCAAGCACCATTTCTGCTAAATGTTGGGACTGGCCGGTAGTAATGAACGGGTCAACTTTTCTTGCTAAACATTCCTAAAAGAAGTCTATAATGGCAACAAAACTTTTTTTTAATCATGGAGTAAACAACTTTACC